GACCAACTAGTGGAGTTGGTGCGTCAATGACTCGCAGTTATAGAATTTTTGGCAAATCCTCAGCCATCAACGGATTTGATTAGCCTTTACCGACTACCGTTTGAGTCGGGCTAGCATGCGGATTGTTTAAGTCCGTTCCGCATGTGACGTTATGCTAAAAGAGTTAACTCTTTTAGTGCTACGATATTGAATACGTAGACTTCGTCTTTCTCCTGTGAAAAGACTAAACAGCAACGTGTATGAGACGTTGACTTAGGATTTTTGGCAAATCCTCAGCCATCAACGGGTTTGATGCGCCTTTACCGACTACCGTTTGAGTCGGGCTAGTATACGGATTGTTTAAGTCCGCTCCCATGTCACGTTTAATCTAAAAGAGTTAACTCTTTTAGTGCTACGACATTGAATACGTAGACTTCGTCTTTCTCACGGGAATAGACTACCCGGCAACACGTGTTAGGCATTGACTTTAGGATTTTTGGCTAACCCCCAGCCTTCAACGGATTTGATTAGCCTTTACCGACTACCGTTTGAGTCGGGCTAGCATGCGGATTGACGAAATCCGTTCCGCATGTAACGTTGTGCTAAGAGAGTGAATTCTCTGAGACTTTGTGCTATGACGTCGAATACATAGTGCTCAAGTCACGAGACCAACTAGTGGAGCTGGTGCGTCAATGACTTGCATTTATAGAATTTTTGGCAAATTCTCAGCCCTCAACGGGTTTGATGAGCCTTTACCGACTACCGTTTGAGTCGGGCTAGCATGCGGATTGTCTAAATCTGTTCCGCATGTGACGTTGTGCTAAGAGAGTTAACGCTCTTAGTGCTACGATATTGAATACGTAGACTTCGTCTTTCTCACGGGAATAGACTACCCGGCGACGCGTGTTAGGCGCTGACTTTAGGATTTTTGGCTAACCCCAAGCCTTTAACGGATTTGATTAGCCTTTACCGACTACCGTTTGAGTCGGGCTAGCATGCGAATTGTCTAAATCCGTTCCGCATGTAACGTTGTGCTTAGAGACTGAATCCTCTAAGACTTGTTGCTATGACTTTGAATACATAGACTTCGCCGTTGTCATGGGAATAGGCTACCCAGCAACGTGTATTAGACGTTGACTTATCCCTACTTAGGCTTCAGGGTAAAATACCCCAGAATCGGACTCTGGTGTCTTTTTGTACGGAGAAGGACTAAACCGGCGGCGCGTGTTAGGCGTCGGCATATCCTTTCTTAGGATTCAGGATGAAATTCCCCATGCGTGTAAGGCCTGGATTTTGGTGTTATTAATAACGACGACCTGCCACAATGTTGAATATGTGGACGGGTGTTCTTTTTAACGGTTAAGAACTAACCGGCAGCGCGTATTAGGCGCAGACTTATCCCTACTTAGGTTTTAGGATAAAATACCCCAGAATCGAACCTCTGGTGTCTTTTTCTACGGAAAAAGACTAAACCGGCAGCGCGTGTTAGGCGCAGACTTATCCCTGCTTAGGATTCGGGATAAACTTCCTAGAATCGGATTTTGAATTCTTGGAAAAGGATTGGTGTGGGGAAGGAAGAATTTTATATTCTATTTCCCGAACAGAGAAGGAAAGGAAACCCACCTCCAGAATCCGGAAAGGTGAAACTGAGAGTGGGATCTCCACTCCGAGAATCGAAAAGATTCGGATAACCCTAACTGTCAGAAGGTTTGATTACCGAACTAAAGATGAATTTCTCGTTTATCGAGAGTGAATTGGGGTTTTGGTCCTAACTGTAGGAAGGTTTGACCAAGCGGGAACTTGAGATGACCCTAACTGTAGGAAGGTTTGATCACTCGATTTGACAATGGACCTCTCGTTCATTGGAGGAATCGAGAGGGGATTTTGATTGCGGTCATAACTGTAGGAAGGTTTGACCAAACGGGAGCTTGAGATGACCCTAACTGTAGGAAGGTTTGATCACTCGATTTGACAATGGACCTCTCGTTCATTGGAGGAATCGAGAGGGGATTTTGATTGCGGTCCTAACTGTAGGAAGGTTTGACCAAATAAATGGTGGGTTTAGTGTTTATCATTTTATTTGTAATGATCGGGTTATCCCTAAGGAAATTATATGTAACATTCTTTCGGGAACTTCCCGTTACATGAATCA